AGTACCTCACCACCGAGTACCTCTACATTGACCCGCTGATCACACTGGGTGTTCTGAACTTCACCTTCTTTGACCAAAAAACGATGTTTGCCACCACTCTGCTCGCTCTCTTTGCCCTCTACATTGACTACTCGCTGTCTTTTCAGTCAAACCTGGCCATTACGAGGATGATGTACGAGATCAACATTGGCAATATAGAGGAGATCACCAAGCTGAACGGTGAGACGCTAAGCTGGCCAAAAATGAGCCCCTTTCGACCGCTGGGCAGTGCTCGAGTGTTTGGCGTTTGGGTGAAGAAGATTTGGAACTGTGAGAAGTTGGTTTTTTGTCACCAGAAGCTAGAATGTTATCCGAATTTGTCAAAAAAGTTGAGGACTAGAATAATGGTTTTTTCGCTGGGACTGGAGCTGCTGATACTCCTAACACTTCTGCTTGCCGGTATTTAGTTTACAAAGCAAGATTTTCAATAAAGGTTTTAAGTACCTTTTATCTTTTAGGACTCCTTGCCCTCATCTTCTTTTTTCTTTTCACTTTCCTTTTTTTCTTCGTTGACCTGCCCACTTGGCCGGTGATCAGTTTCGCCTTCTTTGACGCCGTCCGCATGGGTTTCTTCTCGCTGCACGTCATTGCCATGCAGGCCTTCATTGCCCGTGGCCGTGTTGGCGAGCTGAACGGCGCTATAACCGGGGCCGTTCAGAGCTGTCGTACTGTGGCTGAAACTGGCGGAGGCAATAACAAAGCAGCAGTTCTTCAGCTAAAGCGGGCGGTGGCCACTTTCCGACGAGAGCATCGACATCTGCTTGAGGTAACCGTCACCATCAACGACCTGGTCAGCTCGCGGCTGATGATCGTCACCTTCCTTACGAACATCTTCAACAACGTGATGATGATTGCCAAGTTAATCTTCGAGCCGCTGCTGCCAATGGAGGCCACGGCCGTTTTCTTGATAATCCTCGCGCAAACTGCCATTTCACTTCCGGCCTGCTTTGTACAGATCACCTGGGCAAAGGCGCTGTACAGCGAGGCGAGCATTCACCTGCTGTACGTTTCACAGCCGATGCTGACAAATGATGAACAAAGTGGAGCAAAGTTTGTAGTTGATAATGGTACTGCCCATCAAAGCAAAAGAAGTGGCCTAAAAAAGCAGGCCAGCATTGGAGGAGTGTTCCAGAAACGGCCTACTTTAGGTTTGGGCGATGGTGGCCTTTTTGGAGCGGTTATGCTAGTGGAGAAACTCAAGTTGAACCTCTACTTTGAGTTGGTTTGCACACAAAGTCCGTTTATGTTCACTCTAGGACAGCTTGGCGGAATCTCAAAGAAGTCGCTCTATGAGGTATTGCTATTTTTTGCACTTTTTACATTTTGCACAAGGTTTTATTTGGCTCTAACAGTTTTTTCTATGATTTTTATGATTGTTTTGACAGTTTTTCCTCGGATACAGCGGCTTCATCATGTACGCTAGTAAAATGTTCATCCGAAATCGACTGGTGAAAAATGCTGCGCTGGAAAACTCGTCAAATGAAAAAAACAGCTTTTTAATCAATAAAAACAATTAAACTTTACTATAGTAAACTTGTTTCATTTCAAAAGGCAATTAGTTTTTGCGTTAATTTGTTTTGTTTTTGTTTAGTTTTGCTTTTTCCTTAATTTTTCTCTAGTTTACAATTTAAAACATTTGCATAATTGACAGCGTAATAATAAAAAATGTAAGCAATTGCTGAACAGAGAATACCAAAACTCACTTGCACTTGTTCATTAACTTTTACACTGCTCAAACGTTTCACTGACAATTTTTATTTTATGCAAAAACAAAGTATATAATTTGTTTTGCAACCGTTTGTTTTCTCTGTAACATAGTTACCAAGAAAACAGCAGCAGCAGCATAAACAACTTTAAAATTATCACACACACACATCTACACTTTTCTTTCAAACACACACACAATTAAACCTGCCAAAAATCAAACATAAAAAAATCATTAAAAAAATGGCCAATCTCTTTCTCACTGTCATCCTCTTCCTGCTCAACAATCAGTATCCGCTGCTGTGCAGCCGCTCTAATGTGATGCTGGAACGAATTCACCGAATCAAGGTGCTCCGATCCACTGATCCACAGCATTCCTTTGAGCATTTTGTCGTCTGGGGCTTCTACCTGATGAAGGCAGTGGTCTACTCATATCTGGCGATCATCCCACTGCGAGGCGCCTACATGCGCTACCTTCTCAGCTTTGAGCTGGACCCTACTTCCGGTGTTTTACTTCGTTCCGACGTTCTGAATTCAGGCTACCTCGCCACCGAGTACGTCCACGTCGACCCGCTGATGACGCTGAGCGTGCTGAACTTCCACTTCCTTGATCAGAAGACGATGTTCGCCACCTCGCTGCTTGCTCTCTTTGCCCTCTACATTGACTACTCGCTCTCCTTTCAGTCCAATCTGGCCATCACCGCGATGATGTACGAGATCAACATTGGCAATATACGGGAGATCACCTCGCTGAACCCACACATTCTCCGATGGCCAAAGATGAGCTTTTTGAGGCCGCTGGGCAGTGTGCGGGTCTTTTCCGGGTGGATCAGGCGCATTTGGAACAGCGAATCGCTGACCTTTTATCGTCCCCAGCTGGAGTGCTATCCAACGCTGTCCAGGCGGCTGAGAGCGAGGATTATGGTCTTTTCCCTAGGGCTAGAGCTTCTTTTTTTGCTCATCATTTTACTTGTTGGTAGGTGTCACTATCTTTCATTTATATGTACGNAGGGCTAGAGCTTCTTTTTTTGCTCATCATTTTACTTGTTGGTAGGTGTCACTATCTTTCATTAATAATGTACAAATTACTCTAACTTTTTTGTTTTCCAGGTCTCTTTGTCATCATCTTCCTCCTCCTCTTCTTCTTCTTTTTCATTATCTATCAGCCACTGCCCACCATTGTCATTGCCGTGGTCGACGGAGTTCTGATGGGTTACGGCTCCTGGAACGCAGTTCGAATGGGATTTTTTTCTCTTCATGTCATTGCAATGCAGGCCTTCATCACTCAAGGTCGAATCGCCGAGCTGAACAGCGCTATTTCCGCCTCTATCACGCAATCACGAATGGCAAGATCGGCTCTTCCGTTGAAACGAGCTGTAGCTCTGTTTAGAAGGGAACATCGACACCTTCTGCGAGTGGCCGTCGCCATCAACGACCTGGTCAGCTCGCGGCTGATGATTGTCACCTTCCTCACGAACATCTTCAACAACGTGATGATGATTGCCAAGTTGATCTTTGAGTTGCCGTTGTTGTCTGCAGAGGCTGCGGTTGTTTTCTTGATAATCCTCGCGCAGACAGTTATTTCACTTCCGGCCTGTTTTGTACAGATCACCTGGGCGAAGGCGCTGTACAGCGAGGCGAGCATTCACCTGCTGTACGTTTCGCAGCCGATGCTGCGGGAGATTGAAGAGCAGAAACCAACTTTTGGGAGCCTTTTTGGAACGGTGATGCTAGTGGAGAAGCTCAAGTTGAACCTCTACTTTGAGTTGGTTTGCACGCGAATGCCGTTCATCTTTACTCTGGGGCAGCTGGGTGGCATCTCAAAAAAGTCGCTCTATGAGGTCTCTGGTTAAAAAAGTGTGATTTGAATTTTTTTAATAATCCTTTCTGTAACTGCAGTTCTTCCTTGGCTACAGCGGTTTCATTATGTACACTAGCAAACTGATCATCAGGAGTCGACTGGCAAAAGCAGCGGCGGCGGCAGCAGCATCGTCTGAAACATCATAAAAGAGCTTATCTGTTTGTTTATTTGTGTGCATTTTAAAAACAATTTTACTAAAATTTTTGCGTTCAATTCAGCCAATCAATAAATCAAACATAAAACTTTTCAATATGCTAAGTTATGCAAGCAATTTCTTTGCTTGATTCTGCTAGTACCAATAAATTGACAACCCTCAGTCACAAATTTCACAGTCAAGTGTAACACTCAAATTTACTCATTCGGACTGTGATTACGGCATTGCCAATATCTTTTGCACGTAACAAAAAGTGTTGCCTTAAACTAAATTTACTGCAACCCAAAAACTTACTCATTACCTTTGCCTTTACTTTTACCTGTATTGTTTTATTGCCACCTGTCTGCCAGACGGCAGGCAATTGTTTTAGTGCGGCGACAAGTGTCAAACCGAGGGAGGGAAATGAAATGAGGGAGAGAGAAAGAAGGCATTTTTGGGCCTCTTTCTTTTCCTTTATTAGCTTACACCAAAGTACCATCAGTATCGCTGGCTGAGTCAGTAAAGTTTTTTGCGATAATCTGCACTCACCTGCTAGCAACGGGGAAATCTTGATCTTTCGCTGATTGTATCGAACCTTCTGCTAATGCTTAGGAGAAGGAAATACTCGGTGAGTGTGTGCCTTGCTTTGCAAGTATAGTAGATTAAATTAAAGTGCGAGAAAGAGAGCGGGCTTTTTGCTAAAACAATACAAATTGAGCAAAAAGTGTTGCTGAGATTTGTTTGAAAAAAAAGTTTTGTAAAGTTCTGTTTTAATTTTCCGTTTTTAAAGTTTTAAACTTGGCCTGCAAAAATGTCCAATCAACACTACCAACATCAGCAGCAGCAGCCGCAAAATCAGTACCCATTGGGCGTCATAAACCAACAACCGCCATATCCACCGGCTCCCATTGGCATCAACACTTCCTATCCACCTAATCCAAACACTAGTAAAAATGATGAATTTATTAAAACCAAAAACTTTTAACTTCATGTTCAATTTATCCCATTCCATGGCAGTCATCTACGCCCCAGCGCCGCCCAGCTCTAACCCGAACATTCCGCCCGGCTTGGAGTACCTCACCGTGGTAGATCAGCTGCTGATAGAGCAGAAGGTGGAGATGTTGGAGGTGTTCACCGGCTGGGAGACCAACAACAAGTACGCCATCCGCAATGTCATGGGCCAGAATGTCTACTTTGCTGTTGAGGGTAAGTTTTTTGCTAAATATTTTAAACTTTTCTTAAAAAATTAAACTAATAAAAAAATTAAATTAGAAAACGACTGCTGCACTCGGCAGTTCTGCGGCGCCGCCCGTTCCTTTGACATGAAGATCATGGACAACTTTCGCAAGGAGATCATCAGCATTCGCAGGCCGTTTCGCTGCAACAGCTGCCTGACCCCGTGCTGCAATCAGGTACTGTTTATCCTTATCAAAGTACTTTTCAAAGTGTAAATAACAACTTTATTACTGTACCGTCTTTAGAACCTGGAGGTGTACAGCATCAACGGCCAACTGCTCGGCTCAGTGGACCAGGACTGGTCCATCTGTGCGCCCAAGTTCAGCGTCAAGGACGCCGCCGGAGAAACGGTCCTCAAGATTGACGGGCCCATCTGCACCTTCAGCTGCGGCAGCGACGTGGTCTTCCACGTGAAAACGCTTGATAAGGAGACCAAGGTGGGCAAGATTACCAAGCAGTGGTCCGGCCTGGCGCGGGAGATGTTCACTGATGCGGATTTCTTTGGCGTCACCTTTCCAATGGATCTAGACGTGCAGATTAAGGCCGTCCTCATGGCGACCACTTTCTTGATTGTAAGTAGTAGTTTTAGGTTTTTCAAAACATTTTTTAATTTAATTTTTCGATACAGGATTTTATGTTCTTTGAAGACAAAAATAACAATAACAACAATAATCGCCATTATTGAAATTGATTTTTAAAATGAAAAAATGTTTTGTACAAGTTGAATTTAAACTAGAGACAATAATTTTGTTTTTTCATATTTTTACTACCGGATGTCTATTAATTTTGTTTTACTGAACTAATGATTTTGTTTCAATCTCTATTTTAAAACTTGATAGTTTTCACTTGAGTGCAATTGCAATTGTAAATGCTTTTAGTAAAACAATTTTATTTTTAACACTTTTGAATTACAGTTGATAAATTGTTTATTTAAATCATTCAATTTTTTATTTGAGTTTTAATGATTTAGTCAATCAATAAAATATCCTATACTTAACCCAAACAAAAACACTAAAAAATATTTTATAAAAAAACAATTCAATATCAATGTAACATTTTTTTTATTTATAAATTTTTGAATTTTTTCAATTTTTGTCATGTACTTGTCTGTAAAAGTTTCAGGATCAATTAAATCTTCTAGAACTGACCCTATTTGATTTTTCCATAATTCACATTTTTCTAATGTATTTTTAAAATCATTTTTGTTCAGCCGTCCAATTCTTATTTTGCTGCAAACAATATCAATTTCTCTAGTGATTTTCCGGTAAACCTTAATGGATTTTTTAGTGGCTTCTTCATTAATCATCACTTGTTCAACTGGTTCTTGTGTTTGCATCCCTAAACAAAATTTGTTAACTAAAACATTGATGCATTTTTTAAATGCGCTTACCAGTTAAACAATTTTGAACATTAGACAAGTTTTGTAACGCTAAAAACAAAGTTTTTTTTAATAATTTTTGTTAATTCTAATTATTTGTCAAATTTTTACCGTTAACTGAAAAGTTTCCCATTGTAGTGTTGCCCGATAGCCCATACAGCACCATTGAACTGCTAATGTTCATACAGTTTGGACCGTTTAAAATACTTCGACGTCCATAAAACACCAGTGGAATAGTCGTACAATTGAAATTAAAGTAGCACTGCTGATGCATGCCTAAACTGACGGCAACATAAGTGGGTAAAACGGAAAAAATAAACTCCTCCTCAAATGGATCACCCTCTAGTTCAGCAATAATTTGATTGATTCCAAAAGTGATTGATTTATTAAAACCATCAAAGTAAACGCCAATCACATCTCCAGCTTTCCATTCAGACTGAAACGATTTTATTTTGTACTTTTTGTCTGACATCCACACACACCCGTTGAATCCGTCAATTCCAATTGACAGAGCGTTACTTCCTACTTCCTCTTTAATTTTCATTTGTTTAGTCGCAAAACCAATTCTCATTTCCCCTGAAGTAATAAGTGTCACCTCAAAGTAAAACACACTTGGAACAATGTAAAATTTAGAACGACATGTTGTTAAATAAATTTCATCACCTCGCACCATTAAATTAGAAGGAGACAATTTTATGTAGTAGTATTTGTCTTCAGGGTTCATTTGCAAAAATGACGATTTTTCTAGTGATTGATTACCATTTACCATAAATTCAGTTGGTTTGCAATAATATCTATAGTAGTGATCGTTGACACAAAGGTAAAGTTGAAGTCGAAGTGATTGTTTGGCAATGTTGTCTAAATACTTGCATTCATTATCATGACTAAACTGATTTTTCCAATTTACAAAATTTTGAATTTTTTCTAATGAAAATGTTTGTTTAAGTAAAACATAATAACTTGCAAAATTACAATACATTTTTTCTAATGCTAAAAATGAAATTAGTTGCAGAAGGTGATCAGTAGATTCAAGTAAAACATTAAACAAAAATGAAATTATTTTGTCTCTAATGTATTCGCAACAGTTGTTTATTATAATGATTACAGATATACCTGTATTACTTTTTTTACTGAACTGAATTAACAAATGACAAAATATTTTAATTTTTTGTTTATTTTCTTTATCGTTTATTTTTAAATTGTTGATGTAGTGTAAAATCACTGAATGAAAACTAATAACTAATCTATTAAAATATCTTGTTTTTTTCAGCAAACAAAAAATACATAAAAACAGTTTATCAAATTTGTTTTTGCAAGTTTTAAAACCAATGTTTTCAATAACTGATTGAAACACTCTTTCAAAAGTAGGATATTTTGTTAAATAATTTAAATACTTTTTAGGTTCTGTAATTTTAAAAATTTTATTAAATGTTTCATCAACAATTGTATTAACTTCATAAAAATCATTATTTATCTTTTCTTCCATTTGTAACACAATTTTATCAATTTTATTTTGTGTAGAATCTTGATATAAAGGAGGAAAATTAATTTTGTTTTGATTAAACTTAATTATGTAATATTTGTTTTCAAGACTAGAGCAAAACCATTTAAAGTTTGAATTATTTTTTAATTTAAAAATGTAATTATATTGATTTGATTCATGAAAAAAAGAAGTTATATTTTTACTTTTTTTAAAAAATTTTTTAAATTTTTGTTGTCCAAAATTAATGTTGATTTTTTTAAAAGGCTCAACTAAAACATACGCAAACGCTGGCAAACAACTAAAAATGTTTTTATTTTCATGCGATTTTTTCTTTTTTCCATTTTTAAAAAACGTTGTCGTTTTGCTGTCTACATTTATTAAACAGCCAAGAACTGTTTTTGGTGGTAAATTTTTTATTGATATTACAATGGCGTTTTCATCATGAATGTTTAATTTGTCATTTGGAACAGGGCCAAATCTAGTTATCCATCCAAGTCGTATGTATCCACCATTGACCAGTTCAACTTCATAGTAATATGCTCCATTTATAACAGCAAAAGAAGATATTATTTGCAAACATTTTTTTGGGTTTGTGTTGAACACTGTCCAAGGATTAAGTTGTTGTTTTAAATTTGTCAATTCTATGTTTGATGATGTTAGTTTGCGTTTGTTATGTAACTTTAACATGATTCACTTTAAAAATTGTAGTAATCTTAAATTATTTTATATAAAACTTGTTGCAGCGACAGCTACACAAAATTTTTGTAAGCATTTTTTATGTTTGATTTTAGCTAAATATTTTAAATCATTTGTTAAATTGATAAAAATTTATTACAACTTAAAGTTTATCAATTATTTTATTTTGTTACTATGACTGCAATTTTTTTTGTTATTTATATACCACTGGCTGAGCGACTGAGTTGTAAAAGAAGCAAATTATTTTTATTGAAAGTAAAATGTTTGTTTTGTAGCATTATTTATTGTTATAAATCTATTTTGCAACTTTTTTGTTAAAAGAAGCGCATAGAAACGGCCTATTATATGGGCTGCTAATTAAAATAACACTTTTTTGTTTCTAATAAACATGTTAAAAGCGTTGCTTTATATAACTAAATAGATCTAAACTAATCATTTTAATAAAACTGTAAAAATGCAAAAATTTTAAACTTGTTTTTGTTTTGATTTTACTGCAATGATAAATGAGTGATAAATTTGTTTTGCTGTTTCCTTTTTTGAAGGACTTTTCAGTTGGTGCTGATCATCTTCAAAAAATACGCTAGTAATTTTGTAGTTGAATAAAAGATAGGCTGATGAAGGTGGCAAGTGCACCAAAAATGATAAAGAAGCAAACAGTGTACGGGTTGTGTGCACCGATTGCTGATCAAGGACACAAGTCAATCTCTCAATGTATTTTTTCACCAAAAAGAGGTGTCACCAAAAAATTTTATTTACAAACAAAGTGAAAAAATTCAATCATTCATTTGAGTGCACATAACTTAGACACAACTTAGACATTTTGATTTTGATTTATCCTTTCATCTTCAATGTTAGATAATCAAAGTCTAATAAAAAAAGTTGATAGAAAGGAAATGGCAAATAATAAATGAAAAGCTAGTGTCATCAAATCGCAGATAAAAAGAGGCAAAAGAATGAACTAAAAATTTGATCAATTTGACTTCTATGTTTATTTTTTAAAAATATTTATTATTTGTGCTTGATGAATCAACAAACGATTATTGGCGTTTTAAAAGTTTATCTAGTCTGAAAACTTTGTTTTGTTTTATTGATAAAAATAATAATGGGTTTAAAAAAGCAATCACTGGGTACTACTAGTGATCCAACTAGCTATCGGTTCAACAGCAAAAGAAGAAAAGTACTTGATGATGAGGAAGAGGAAGCAAACCTGACCCAATGTGGCGCCTGCGGATGGCGCCCAAAGTGCCTGCAAATGTTTGCCAGTCCCTTCTACTTTATGCTCGTCATGAGCTTGGTGGGCATCTTTCAAGGTCAGCTCTAACCTTTTATTTCATCTTTGATTTTACAACAATGTTTTATTTTGTGTGCAAATCACACTTTACAAAATTGACTAGCAATGACCGGCTCGGTCTTTTTTGGAACCAGTTCAACGCTAGAAAAGCGTTTCGGCTACGACTCGAAACTCACCGGGCTGATCATGGTGATGGACAACTTTGCCGAGATTTTGGTCAGTATTGTTCTTTTTAGTATTCAGTATTCAGTAGTCAGTACAAAGTACTTAAAAATTTTATACAAAAACTTTCCTTTTAGCTCAATCCCTTTGTGGCCTACCTGGCGGTCCGCTTCAACCGCGCGCGGCTGATCGCCAGCGGCGAACTGATGCTCGCCCTTTCCTGCTTTGTCACCGCTGCGCCGTACTTTATTTACGGCCCCGGTACGCACCTGTTGGCAAAGAAGGTCGGTTCTCAGGCGGCGACCAATCTGCAGTTCTGCTCCGAGACAGACGTCCACTCGGCGGAGTGCAACAGCAGTGCACTGGAGAGCAGCGCTACCGTTTGGCCAGCAGTTATTTGCCTCGTTTTCGGCAGCTTCATGCGAGGTCTCGGCTACACGTGCTACATTGTCGTAGGGCTGCCCTATTTAGATGATAATGCACAGTGAGTTTACAAACAAAATATTAAACTTTTTTATGGTGATTTAAACATTTTAATTTTTGGTTTTTATCAGAAAGAAGAGCACGCCAATGTACATTAGTACACTGTCCTCTCTCCGACTGATTGGCCCAGCAGCTGGCTTTATGTTAGCCTCCTTCTCGTTGAGTTTTTACGAGAATCCTTTCAGTAAATCAGCCTCATTTTATCAGGCTATTGATAAGCTCTAATGTTTTTGTTTGTTTGCTTTTGTTTATCAGTGGACCCTGGCATCGCCCACAACGACCCTCGCTTCATTGGCGCCTGGTGGATCAGCTTCGTCATTGTGGGCAGCTGTCTGCTGGTAGTCACACTGCCGCTCTTTCTCTTTCCTCCTCAGCTGAAAGGTGCACCGGTGAAAATGAAGGAAACAAAGCAGAAGATCAAGGAGGGAGGAGGTAAACATTTCGACAACAAAAAAACCTTATCAAATTTCTAAAAACTTATCATTATCAACTCTTTTACCCCTTTATCACAGGAAGCACCGGCGCCTTCAAGCGGATCATCACCAACCCCCTGGTCATGTGCTGCCTCTTCGCCAACTCCTTCCGCATCTTCGGCCTCTGGGGCTACATCTACTTCAAGTCGAAGTACCTGGAGACGCAATTCCGCGTCTCCAGCAGCAAGGCCTCCTTCATAACCGGCGCCGTCGGTTTTGTTCCTCAGGCAATTGGCATCTTCGCCGGCGGCGCCGTGCTGAGCACTCTAAAACCTCGACCTCGAATCGTCTTCCTCCTCGTCTTTCTCTGCGAGTCGGCGATGATCGTCAGCTTCGCCGGCGGCTTCTTCTTCGGCTGTGACCCGGTGAAGATTGACGGACACCCGAATCCGCTGACGGGAAAGTTTGAGCTGCTGGCGCCGGCGGGCATCACTGCTGGAAGCTGCAATTCAGATTGTCACTGTGCGGCGAACATCTTTGCACCGGTTTGCAATCTCGCCAGTAAGGTCACCTACTTCAGTCCCTGTCATGCGGGCTGTAAAGGTTTTGAAGGATTTAATAAGGTAAGTTTTGAGGTTTCTTTAAAGTTTTAAAAATTGATAAAAAAATTTTTTAATAGACCTTCAACGACTGCTCCTGCCTAGAAAAGGGTGAATCAATCAAGGTGGGCTACTGTCCTGAGGACGTGGAAGGCTGCCAGACAATGCTGCCCTATGTGCTGCTGTTGGCCGTTGGGGGCGTCATTGCGAGCACCGCCCGAACGCCCAATGCGCTCATTTCATTGAGAAATGTAGAGCCACATGATAAGGCCTTTGCCATTGGCTTTGCCGCCGCGGCGATTGATCTTTTTGGTATTTTAAAATTTTTACTCAAAATACTTATTATTTTTTTACTAAAAATTTTCTCTGTTTTATTTTAAACTTAGCCTTTATTCCCGCCTCTATCGTCTTTGGCCTTATCATAGACAACACCTGTCTAATTTGGGAGGAAAAGTGCGGCCGCCAGGGCAACTGCTGGGTCTATGATCAGGCGAAGTTTCGAAACTACCTTCACGGTGCCTCAATCTTCTGCTTTATCACCGCTAGCTGCTTTGACTTTGCAGCCATCTTTATGGCGCATCGAGTGAAGAACTTCTACGAGGATGATGAGGAGCCGATGATTGAGGATGAAGGCCTTAGAATTAACAACAAAGGCAGCCCAATTAATGAGTATGAAAATGAAGAGATCGCCGACAGAGTGATTGAAATTAAGACTATTAGAGATTTTTGAGAGCGCAAAATATATGAATTTTGTGTTTATACGCCAAACTATGGTTTTAGCTTACATTTTGTTTTATGTTTTATACTCAGACTATTGTTATCAATGTTATCTTTCCCTCAGGTTTAGGTTTACAGTATGCTTTAATTGAAAAACTAGCTACATTTAGTCACAACATGTTGGTTTTAATCACATATAAAAGTTTTGATTACAAACAACTAAGTTGATTGATCATTATAAAGCATAACCTGATTTCAGTTCAAGTAAAACTCGTCTGACACAAAACTCAAATTTGATTGACATTATCATCTGTCAAAATGACAAAAAAGATAATTTTATGCAATTTTGCGGGATTTTTTGGTGTTTGATTGCTTTTAATTGCTGTAACTAATTGAATACATTTTTTTTAAAAACCACAATTAAAAAACTCAAATTTTAAGTATTTGCAGTTTTTAAAACTAAACAAAGTTTAAATTGCTTAGTTTGGTCTATTCAGTTTATTTTCTATGATTGATAACAAAT